CTGTGTGTGTTGGATTAGGACGCAGACGTCTTTTTGTCCTTCTGTCTCAGGTGGATCTTCAGGTGTCTCCGTCTCTCGTCGCTCCGCGCGAACTTCCTCCCGCACTGCTCGCAGGAGAACGGTTTCTCCCCCGTGTGCGTGCGGATGTGCGTGGTCAGGTGGTCGCTGCGGCTGAAGTTGCGCATGCAGATGCGGCACTGGAACGGCTTGTGTCCCGTGTGGATGCGCAGGTGCCGGCTCAGCTCGTCCGAGCGGGAGAACCTGCGGTCGCAGCTCTCCGCGGGACACGGGTAGGGCCTCTGGTGGACTGGCGTCTTGCTGGGCCGGTTCGGGTACTTCCTGGGCCGCAGGATGGGCCTGAGCGGAAGGTTCTGGTGGCCGGGATACGCGGCTGCCATCGGACCCTCTGCTGACGGGGCCGCGAGCGTAAAGTTCCTGATGGTGTTTAAGGGTGTGAGGGGTGGGGGGACTCTGAGAGGGTCCAGTGGGTACGGGAGGGGTTTCCTCTCGGGGAACCCGCTCTGGATCTCCCTCTGGCAGCTCTGCTGGTAGAAGCCGCCGTACTCCGGCATGATGGACAGCAGCGCGGCGCCTTCAGGCGGTTTCTGCGCGGAGCTGTACGGCTGGTGGTAGGAGGCGGCGCAGGTGGATGGGGCCAGGTACCCCCCTGACACAGACGGGTCCTGGTACATGTCCCCGCTGCAGGAGTAGGACGGGTGGGGGTGACTAGGCGCGTACATGTGGCTGATGTCAGGCGGTCCGTGCGCCATGCTGCAGTCTCCTCCTGCTGCGTAAATCTCAGCGGCACCAGGTGATCCGGACACCACGGCCGGCACCGAGGTTCCAATATCAGCACTGACCACGTTGATGACGTCACTATGTGTCCACGGTCCCCCTGCGACTCTGGAATCCACAGAGAACTTCCCGGTGAACACCACCGGCTGCGTGCGTAAAGTTTCCGCGTAAAGGTCTCCTTGGATGTAGAGCTCAGGTGAGCTCCTGGCGTCAAACAGAAGATCACCTTGCGGGAAAAAGAGCAAACAAGTTGACGTTACAGGATGTTCTCTGACCTTTTAAAAAAACTAAATCTCATGGGATTATGTCAAAGTTGGAATTTTCCCACAAACCGACACAAATCTTACCGCCTCCATCTTCATTTTCCTCCTCTCCAACAGGTTCCTCCTTAAAAACAATCCCTGGAGTCAACACCCCCTCCTCACTGACCACATCTTTAGTGAATCTGTCCACAACGGAAACCTCAGCGGTCATTCTGCACGTGGATCTAAACTGGTTTTCAGTGAAGCTGTCAGACTGGTTTATAATCGCGCATCACGTCAGTCATTAGCCTCCGAGCTTTCCGCTTCTTTGTCAAACAGCTTCAGAAACGTGCGCTGTGGGTTATAAAAGGGTTTTCTGGGTGTCCCCTGACGTCATTGGCCAAATATGGACTTTAAAAAAGGAGGGAACTTCAGAATAAGGAGCTGCGGAGGTTGCGGTGACGTTACATGGAAACAAAAACGAATAATTTTGCACACAAAAAAAAGTTTGAAAAACACAAAAACTGACTGACTTCATGGGTTTTATTCAACCTCAAACACCATCACGCATCTTTCTTGGCGCTTTCTGAAGGAAAAAGACGCTAAGAGATGCTCGGGAGATCCGGTGTGTCCATAAATGGTTCTGGAGAGGCGACATGCGCTCCTGCTTATATGGCTGCCATCCGGGGAAACGGTGCTGGTGCCAGCTGAGCCCACACACCGAACCGAACAGAGCCATTTGTTATCTGCTCTGCATGTCAGGAGCAGATGATTGTTGCTCCGGTCAGATGGATAAGGTGATTAGTGACAGAATAATCACAATTCCTCGCTTGGTTTTGTTAGACAGAAATTAATTAAAACAAAGATCATTTATAACTTAATTCTGAGGATAGTCGACAAACATGCAGCTTTAAATTTTTACAATTTATGTTTTGTTGTTGACTGTATGTCAAATTAAAAGAACAGGATGTTGTGAACTCCCAAATCAAACAGAATTTGTTTTTAGCTCTATTTAAGAATCTCTCTATTAAAACCCTACCGTGAAGATCACCTTCCATGGCAGAGTTTGAGACCAGAATTATCTTTTGTAAATAAATAAGTGAGTTGTACATCTTGAAAGTGTTCTGCGAGATCTGTCAGTGTGATCCGGCTACTTTCACACAGTTTTAACTCAATATATGTAAAACTAACGGATCACTTTTGTGTTTGCTAAAGTTGATCAGCTGTAGCAGCTATCTTGAATTAAGCTGATTCTAAAAAGTGTACTCAAAACTGTTTAAAATAATTATATATATAATTTTCTCATTTGGTTAATTTGCCCTTAAGTTAAAGACTTGTAAACAGAATATATGTTCTGCTACCAATTGTGCATTTATTTATCTGCAAAAACAGCAGAAGGGCGTGCAACAATGGCAACATCCATGCAGGTTCTATGAGATTATAAAACCGGGCAATTTAAATGTTGATGATTGGTATGCATTTATGCAATGCACATGCTGAGTAAAATAATTTATGTAGATAAAAGTGCTTTGGTCATATTGAATATGAACCCACATTTCAGAGTGGAAAACTACTCTTTGAATCTGCAACACCTGATAGTTTAGAAAATAAAACATCTTTTGTTTGAGGATTTTTATCTCATTCATGATTACTGCAATGGTTAATAACAAACTTATAGGATAAATTAATTAATAAATTGAAGAGTACATTGTACTAACCAGTGTACTTTGGTTTCTAAGCACAGTATATGGACCTACCGTGGTAAAGTTAGTTTTTCGTTGGACGTTGGACAATCGCCCTTAGTGGCTTCAAGGTGTCCAACGTCCAACGTAAAACTAACTTTACCACGTTATACCAAATGTAAACTACACCACTGTGGGGATGAGTCTCAGTCACTACCACTGAGTTTGAGCACAATATCTGTTAAACCAATTCAAAGAGTTTCCATGATGACAAACTGATTCTCTGTGCTGGCCCTTCTTGAATTGGGATGATCTGTAGCTAACAGAGAGTGGTTTCAGATGTTATCAGCCCATGAAATGGTCGTTATTAGTTGTTATCATCCCCATATGTAGCGGTCAAACTGTACCACTTACCTCCTAGCAGGTTTAAAGGTACGTTATTATCGTTAACGGGGTAAACCAGAAAGTGTCTTTTTTGTTTTTTTTGTAACCCTTTTCCTAAACGTAAGCTTACACCTGACCCAGAGGACCAACCCTAAACTTAACCCCCTTACCCTTGTGCCTAAACCTAACCAAGACCCTAAACCTAACCAAGACCCTAAACCTAA